GTGTATGTGGCTTGTGCTCTACTCACTGAACTATGGGTGCTGAACCACAATTAAAATATTTTAAAATAGGGCGGCGCCTGTGGCTCAAAGGAGTAGGACACCAGCCCCATATACTAGAGGTGGCAGGTTCAAACCCCCCCCCTCCCCCAGGCCAAAACTGCAAAAAAAAAATTTTTTTTTTAAGTAATAAAGTATTATGGTTTATAAACTAAAAGTCAGCACTTGAAGAAAAATTCATAGGAAAGAGGAAGGAATTGCTCTTTTAAATTATTGTACTTTTAAAACCTAGAAAGTTTCTTGGTTTTTGTCTTTTATTCCCTGTTGTTATTTAGAGAGCTAGAATTTGAAGTCTTGCAGGTAGTGAGAGCAACAGAATGAAACTGAGGAGTTAGTGAAGGGATCCTGGTAAGGGGCAGCAATGCATGTAGAATTCCAGAGCTAAGATTCTTGATAATTCTTGATAATCCTTCATCATCTCAAGATAATGTAGCTGCAACTCTATGTTGGTAGGGAGTTTGAGGACATTTTGATACACTTGGGGAGAAAGAATAAGAAAGAAGTGGCTGGCAAGGACCAGTTACCATTTTCTGATCATCATTGTCATATATTCCTCCTATGGACTACATGAATAATCTTTCACAGGCTGAGTCCCATTTTTGTTTTTAATTGAAAAGTTCATTTGGGGTAGCTGAAACTTCATGTGTAATTGCAAGAAATAATACAGAGAAATCCTATGTACTCCTTTATCTGTTTATCACAATGTGTAACATCGTATGAACAAATAATGCCATATTATAACTAGGATATTGACATTTATAGACTCTGTTGATCTCACTCAGATTCTCCCAGTTTTTTATTTCATTTGTGTATGTACATATTAGTTCTGTACAATCTTATAACATGTAAATTCATGTATTCACCACCAGAGTTAAGAGACTGTATAGTTTCATCATCAGAAGAATCCTTCCTGTTGCCCTTTTGTCTCACACTAACCACTTCCTTCCCATCACACTCTCCCATTCCAGCTCCAGTCTCCTATCCCAGTCCCTAATCTCTAGCAACCAGTAATCTGTTTTCCATTTCTGAAATTTTTTCATTAAAAAAATTCTATATGGTCTCAGTGCCTGTAGCACAGTGGTTACGGCACCAGCCACATACACCAAGGCTGGCAGGTTCTAATCTGGCCTGGACCAGCTAAACGACAGTGACAACTGCAATAAAAAATAGCTGGGCGTTGTGGTGGGTGCCTGTAGTCCCAGCTACTTGGGGGAGGCTGAGGCAAGAGAATCATTACACCCAAGAGTTTGAGGTTGCTGTGAGCTATGATGCCACAGCACTCTGTGGAGGGTGACACAGTAAGACTGTCTCAAAAAAAAAAAGTTCTATAAATTATACAGTATGTAACCTTTTGGGATTGGCCTTTTTCACTCAGACTAATTCCTGGAACACAAAAATCAATGAGTCTCATTCTAATTTAGCTGAGAAATGTTTTATGGAATTTTTGGACTCTGAGTTCACTTCTCTTCTTGGATTAATGTATACTTTGAGTATTGGATAAAAGTAAGGATAGGGCAGTGCCTGTGGCCACCCCCATATAATGAGGGTGGTGGGTTCAAACCCAGCTCTAGTCAAACTGCAGGAAGAAAATAGCCAGGCGTTGTGGCAGG